CTGGGCGGCCACCCCCTGCTGGGCCCGCACCACCATGCGCACACGGCCCACCACCCGCCCTTCGCCGAGCTGCTGGAGCCGGGCAGCCTGGGGGGCACCGACCCCCCTGAGCCCTCCTACCTGGACATGGACTCCTACCCAGAGGCCGCCGCGGCCGCGGTGGCCGCGGGGGTCAAGCCCAGCCAGACGTCCCCTGAGCTGCCTTCCGAGGGCGGGGGCTCTGGGCTGCTCCTGCTGCCCCCCAGCGGCGGGGGCTTGCCCAGCGCCCAGTCGCACCAGCAGGTCACCAGCCTGGCACCCGCCACCAGGTGAGACGGGCCAGGGGCTGGGGTCCACTCTGCACGTCTGCGGCCTCTGTCCCCGGGGGAGGTCCTGGAGGGCCCGGGCCTGAGTCTCGGGGCTGGAGGGGTGAGGGTCCCTGACCCGGGGGCAGCAGGAGGCTGGGGCCGGGACGCCGGGGCCGAGGGAGGAGGTGCTTGGACCGACTCCTGGGTCTGGACAGAGGCGGCGGCTGGTCAGGGCGGTGCAGGAGGCCGCTGGTCCCCTTTAGCAGCAGGCAGGACGGTGTGGCCCGGGGCGCGCCTCAGAGCTCTGCCCCTGCTCCTGCATGTCGAGGGGCCTGACTGGCTGTGGGGACTCAGGGCTGGGGATGGCAGGAAGGCCACTCACCGTCTGGAAAGCGGGTCCCCAGGGCCTGTCGGGGTCCAGTGGCCAGCATGCCGCTTACCGGGCTGCAGCATGGGCGTCGGTCGGGGAGGCGGCCGGGGCTTCCTGAGGCAGAGGTGTCTTGGCTAAACCTGCAGGTGAGGCAGGAAGGTGGGCGAGCCGGGCTGCCCAGGAGCAGGGACAGTGGGCAGAGGTGATGGGGGTGGAGGTGGTGACGTCCCATGGGGATGCCTGTTGTGCCGGCGAGGGAGGCTGTGGCCCTGAGCCGGGCCGGGCCCACAGGGCTTCACATGCCAGGCAGAGGGCACTGTCGGGGGGTGGGGGCCCGGGGAGACCACTCTGGGGCCTCAGCAGGGTGGGCCAGAGAGTTCAGGCCGAGGGGATAAGCAGAAGGGAACCAGGTAAGATGGGGGGCAGAGGCGAGGTGGGAGGAGGTGAGGTGGCGCCCCAAGGCCGGCTCGTGGCTGGTGGGGCCCTCAGGAGCAGGGAAGAGCAGCGGGCTGGAAGGGGAGCCTGAGCTTGTATGGGCCCAGGGCAGGCGGGGGAGGGGGGACGCCTTGGCCCCAGCGTCCCTGGGAGAAGCGGTTCCGGCCGGGCGCCGGCCAGGGCCCCAGGGGCTCACGGGAAATGTGGCTGGAGGTCTCTGGGGAGGCCTTCCAGAGGTGGTGGACACAGTGCCCAGAGCTGCCACACTATACAGATGAAGGAACTGGGGTTCAGAGGGCTAATGACGTGCAGGGGCTCCTGGGAGTAGCAGAGCCAGCTGAGCCCCAGCTGACGCCCACTCCCGCCCTGGCCCTCTCGGCACATCTGGACCTGCCATGTCCAGTGGCGGCTGGTGAGCCCTGACCGTCTCTCGTGGCCCATCACCTGGACTTCACCCAGGTGTGATGGTCTGGGCAGGAGAGGACCCCGGGCAGGGCCTTGGGCCGGGGGCCTGAGGCGGTGGAAAGGACTCAGGCCACGGTTGAGGGTGGGGTGTGGGCCTCGGGGGAGTCTCCCCTGCTGGTCTGGGAGGGGCCTGGTGGGCAGGGCCAGTTTGGCCAGCCTCCGCCTGGGGTGGGAGCCTGGCCCTTGGGGGAGGACAAGCACATGGGCCTGTCCAGGGAAAGCGAGTGGGAGAGAAGGGGAAACAGCGACCGTGGGTGAGGATGGGGCTCCGGGCTCCGGGGTCCCAATCACTGGCGCTCAGCCCCAGAGGGCAGGCGGGAAAGGACCGGCTGCTGGGGCATCTCAGGGCCCGTGGGGGGGCTGAGACTAACGTGGAGAGCCCTGAAGGCAGGGGAGGCCCCGTCCATGTCCACGGAGCTATCCTTCTGTGCCGGTCAGGAGGGGGTCTGAGGA